CCTTTCACAGCTCCCTGGAGCAGCCACAGCCTGCCGTGAGCCTGCCGAGGGACTTGGAGCTGTGTCCCACTGACTCCAGCCCTGCCAGGGCTCTGCCAGCAGCACAGAAACACTTCTCACCCCACACCCGAGGCTCAGCCATGGCCAAATGTCTGCTCAGGAGTACAATGCCAGGCAGAGGTGCCAGGAAACAGCTTCATATTTCTGTAACCAAAGTGCTTTTGGGATGCAGCTTAAAGCTATGGACTTAATAGTTACCTTACACAGGGTCTATCTTACAACCACATCAGCAGTACAAAGAAGTTACTCCTAGCTGAGCTGCTCCCTGGGATGGCTGTGGGCACATCCCTGAACCAACTGCTCTGGGGTAGGGTAAGGGCTGAGGTTGTCTGTTTTCCTGTGAAAGACCATGGAATTTCCAGGTTGTCTCAAGGCCCAGGATCAGCTCTCTGAGAGCCACACTGCTGTGAACCAGCCTTGGGTGCAAGAGCTGAGTGACTTAGGCACACTGAGCAGTTCTGCAGTGATCTGCTGAGCTGTTCTGAGAACAAAACCTTCCCGTGTTTCCCTTGCATCAGTGCAGCCTGGCAGACCCTCCTGAGCCAGTGTGGGGCTGTTCCCACCCGGAGCTGACAGGAGCTCCATCACTCCTGGGAGCTTTTAATCCTCATTAAGAGCCCAAATATTAACCAACTGTAGAGATTTCCACAACATTTCCCTGCAATCAGCAGATAAGTTAGTGGGGCTGGACTGGGGCATAATTCAGTGGGAGTTTCCCGGTGCTTAACACTGACTGTTCTCTTGCCTTTTCCTCCCAGGCGCACTGAAGGATCTTGGGAACATGGTCCTTCGCCCCTTTGGCCTCTCCACAGAAAACTTTCAGATCAAACAGGATTCATCAACTGGCTCCTACTCCATCAACTTTGTGCAAACCCCAAACAACAACAGATAACGTGGGTCCAGCCTGGCCCTGCCTCCAGGCTGGGAGGGACTCGGCCAACACCTCCTCGCTGCCAGGGGAAGAGGAGACTGAGCATATCCATTTCCCTGCTTGTCAAACCATTTGCCATGTGGCTGTAAAGTCATTTGACTTCTCCTAGTGATAACTGTGTCCAGTGTGTCCTTTATGATTATTTTTAACATTGTTTTCCCCCTTCCCTTGGTGTGTTTGGCTTATCCAACAGGTCCCTGTTCTGGCAACAGAACTGCAGCAAGCAGCTCAGGTGGATGAAGCACTCACCTGTAGCAGGAATAGAGGCTCAGGGTGTCCTGGGGATTAGGGAATGGGGCAGCTCTCCTCAGGCAGCAGGTGGGGGTGACAGCAGCATGCATGGACACAGCCAAGCTCTGCCCTGGATCATATCTCTTTGTAATAAAGGCTTGGTACTTCTGCTGCTTTGGTTGTGAGGTTCTTGCCTTGCTTGAGTCTTTCCCAGGGTGGTTGTGTTGTCAAAGGTTCTTCCAGCCACTCACAACACACCTGCAACACAGTCATGGGAAGCAGTTGATTTTTTTGGCCTTGCTTACAGCACTATCAGTAAGTTAACCTCAGGCCACACTTAACAGCACAGTTTGTTTACTTGGTATTAACTTTTCTGCAGGCAACAATGAAATTTTGTGCCTCTTTGTCTACACTTGGTGGTGGTACCAAAAATCTAATGTGCTTGTCTGAGATTCAGTCATGTTGCAAATATCCACAGTGGCAAACAGGAGCTGATTGCAGAAGATGATCATAGTGTGCCAGACCTTGAAGACTAAGGTGTGTGTGTATATATGTAAAGTTCTGCCTTTGGAGAAGAGTTGTCTTCTGTAATTGCTGCTCCCTGGGTTCTGTCAATGCTGAAGTGTTTACAGTGGAGGCAAATTCCTCAGTTGTCTCCATGCAGATCTCAATACCTGATTGAATTAAATAATTAGCAGTGGCTATTGGGTGTCAGCTTGAATTCATTTCAGGAAGTCTGTGTGTGTGTGTCTGGGATTGAGGAGCTCCAGCTCCAGCCTGTACACTGAAATGCCTGAAAGGAAAAGCCTTTCAGGTTCTGCTTTGTTGTCTCTGCAGCGCTGGAGGATTTTTGACTGTTAACTCTGTCCTGCTGCATGTTCAGTTTGGCTTTGTGGGTATCTTTGGCTTGTGAACCATCTCAAGCCTGCAGTGAGCATTAAGTCTGGGAATTAAAGTGTCCTTGTCAGAGGAGGAGAGCAGCTCTAATCCACAGCGAGGCCTGAGCAGCCTCCAACAACTTCTGCATAATTAAAATGTCACTTGAGTAAATGCCAAGCACAGCCTCGGGGAGCTCACAGCCCCCAGGGACCTCAGGGATCTGCTGCAGCTGGCACTGTGCTGTGCTCTGCTGAGGGCAGTGCTGGTGCCAGGCTCGAGCATCTGTACCAGGACAGTTGGGGCAAACAGTAGGTGTGGGAGAGGTTTAAAAACAGATTTTTGCCCTTCAGAGCAGCCACAGAGCTGCTGGAGAGGGAATTGCCAGCCCAAGGCCTCTGGTAGCCAGGCAGAAGTCTGAGCTGGCCCAGATCTGTGGGTACCTGAGAGGCTGTGCAGGGGCAGCTGTGAACCCACTCTGCTGCCTGGACTGAGTTCTGCAGCTTCAGGGGAGGCTTAGTGGGTTGGGACTGGGATAAATGTTAATAATCTCCTGAAACCTGGAGCACCACAGAGCAAAGGTGGAGCCTTGGGCAGAGCTGGGCTGGAACACCTAAGCTTGGCCTGTGCCCAGGCTGAGGCCCTGAGGCCTGTGTGAATCAGCTGTCCCTGAGCTCCTGGTCAGCCCCTGCAGGCTCCACGCGGCTCCAGAAGGGGAAAGCAGCTGGCCCTGGGGGCAGTGAGAATTCCACAGGGCTCCAGGGTGGGCGCAGGAGTTCAGTTCCCAGCACCAGTCCTGCATCCCTGACTGAGCAGATCAAGTCTGACGCTGCATTTCCCTCACCTCCAACATCTGTGCACACCCTTGGGACACACAGGAATGGAACCACTTTGGAGCTCTATGGACACTTTGCATTTCCTGTATCTTTGTTCTCTCAGGGAATCTGTTTTCCCCACACTGTGCAGCTGTTACCTCCGTGTGTGGCTGTTGTGCAGAGGTACAAGTTGGCTTTGAGCAACCTCCTGCTTGGCTTACAAATGAGCTCAGTGACAGATTCTGTTCCCTCCATCCTGGTCCTGCTTCACCTCTTCAAAGGGCTGCACATGTCCCTTCTGGGCTGGAGGCTGAGAAACTCCTGGGAAATGAAAGCACATCAAAACCTTTGAAATTGTTCCCTGCTGTGCAAACACATCATCCAGTCAGTGTGCAACTGCCCTGCAGGTGCCTGAGGTGTAGCTGCAGGTTTCCAGTCAAGGGAAGAGCAAAGGGAGCAGGATTGAAGCTGATCTGCACCCTTGGGTTTGTGATTTAACTGTCTCATGTGAGAGAGGCACTGGGAATTGGGCACAGAGCTACTGAGGACTCAAACCCACAGCTCATGGCACCACAAACCTCTGACATGTTTTCTGCTACCACAGCAAGTTCTCCTCCAGGTAAAATTCCAGTCAATTGCCTGAACAGTCTCCTTTTGCATTGTCCAAATTCTGAACAGCTACATGGATTCTGCTTTTCAAGGTTTGGGTTTTTTATGTCTATACCAGTCATGGCAGCTGCCACCAGTAAGGTAACTGTCCTGCTGTGCCTGGCACAGCCCCAGCAGGGCCAGGGTGGTTTGAGTCACACGTGTTGGACTCACAACCTCTAATAGGAAAGAAATGTTTTATGAAACACAATCTGGTAAATAGAAACGCTCCTAAACCAAGTTCCTTCCTGGATCATTTGTTCCAGTGGTTACACAGCCTCCTTGTAACCAGCATGTGCCTCTTTTCCACTTGGAGTTGCCCATCCTCAGCTCCTGCCTCTGTTCTCCTTCCTCTGCTTGCCAAATACAGAACTTTTTAGTGCCTGTGCTGTTCCCCCTGGACGTGTCTGCACAGTCACAAAGGGACCTGTTGGTCTTGCCCAGGAGCTGAAAGACACAGCTGGGGTTGAGTCTCTCCCTGCAAAGGACTTGTCCAGTATTTCCATAACTTGTGCCTCAGACCTTCCGTTCTTTGACACCAGAGCTGACACAGGGATTTGTCTCCCTTCAGCTCTATGCAGAGGTTCTTAGTCACTTCTCTCTTTGTAGCCTCAGGACTGGCTTAACCCTTTTGGCCACAGATGGGCTGAGGTTTAGGCCTCACAGAATCATAGACTCAGTCTGGTTTGGGTTGGAAGTGACATTAACCTCATCCAGTGCCACCCCTGCCATGGGCAGGGACACCTCCCACCAGCCCAGCTGGCTCCAAGCCCTGTCCAATGTGGCCTTGGACAGGGAATTACCAGTGCAGACATTTAAGTCTCTGCACTCTATCACCATTTGCTAAAGCTTTTATCATGACTCTTGTCTCATTTGTGGGACTGCAAACCATCTCATAGCTCAGGAATGTTAGGAGTAAGAATGAGGAACTAGAACCCTCTCAGCTCTCAGATAATTCAGGCTGGGTTAGTCACAACACTGCATTTCAGATTATATCACTGGTGTTACCTCTACCTCCTCTTCTTCACGTGTGATGGGACTGGGAGAGCCAAGAGAGGTGTCTTCACCCTCCTCTGCTGCCACTCCAGCCAGCTGCACCTCCACCTCCTGAGTCGAACCTGGCACAGAGAGTGCAGAGTTGGTGCTTGGGGCACCACAGAACCTCAATGACCACAAGTCAGTGAGCTGCCCCAGGGGACAAAGCAAAGTCCATTGGTTTCACCTAGGAAAGAACTAAATCAGCCAACCCTCCTGCCCGCGGGCTGTGCCTCCCCTGGTCACTGCCCTGGGACATCTGGGGTTGACACAGCCCCAGTCCTTCCCTCCCTGAGCAGCACATTTCAGCACAAAACTTCCCCCAGACCTCCCCAGCTCTCATTAGCACAGGCACAGCTGGGGAGAAGCTGCTGGTCACCACTTCCTAGGCTTTAATTAGCTGTGTTATTCCCAAGGGATTACTGCCACAGCCAAGCTCTGCTGCAGCCGAGAGCCAATTACATCCAAGTGCCACCTCTCCCCAGCAGTGGGTGAGGATGTGTCAGGGCACATTTAATGTGCAGCATTCATACATTGCTCATTCACAAGCTTTCCCTGTTTGGAACAATCCCAGAATTGCCTTGTTCAGCAACTTAATCCTTTCAAAGCCCTAAGGGCTGTGACTGCTGGGGAGTCACTGCTCTGGGGGCTCAGGGGGTTGTGGCATTAAACCAGATCCATCACCACCTACCCTGACAAAGATTAAAGGTCCTAAATCGATCGAACGCTAAAATAAACCACTTTTCTTTTCCCGATTCTGCGTGTTCAGTGGTAATTCCTCCAGTTGGAAACCATCTGCAGCTCCAGCTCCAGCTCCAGCCTGGAGCCAACAGAACTGTGTGTTTCCCACCCACCAGTTCCCAAGCAGACACTTTCCAAATCCAGCACTCCCTGAATTAGGTTTGCCTTTCCTAGCCTGGCTGGGACCAGTGCTCTGCTCCCAGGACTGCCTGTCTGGGGTCCAGCAGGGACTGGTGGGCACTGGAGCCCCCACAGCTGCTGACCTGACTCCCCTCAGGCACAGCAAAGGAGTCTGGAAGGATCCAGGACTCGGCAGTGCCTGTTCACCTGGGATGAGCACACACTGCCCAGCACCTTCTGCCTGTTTCTGCCTCTGGCGTGTGACCTGCAGCTGTCCCTGGGCAGCCCTGAGCACAGCCAGTGCTCTGAGCAACACCCTTGAGCAGCACCAACATCCTGAGCAACACCTGGCCTTGAGGTGACAGAGCTCTCTGTGCCCCAAGGCACATCTGTGTCCCTGCTCCGAGCTGGAATACAGCTGAGGCCATGGAGCTCACAGTCAGCAGCAAGTTTTCCAAGCCAAGATGCAGCCAATGGTTTCTGACATGATTCTGC